CTCTTTGTATTAAAACATATCTTTGATGGGATGAAGCAGTCTTGGTAACACGTTTGGCACTCTTAAGATGTAAGCTCTTAAATTTGGACAAGTGTTTTGTTAGTTTCAGACACTCCTAGTTAAAATCCCTTGGACAACCATAGCAATTACAGCATGAAGCTGGTGCTGTTGTCACTGTAGCAGCTGCAGAAAGAGGTAAGGGATGATTACTCCTGTGTGAATAAAGGAACAGCTGGAGGAACAGAGTCTTCACAGCAGACAAGGGATGTGAAAATGAGATGAGGAAATAATTTTGAGATGGCGAGACTGTGAAGTCTGAAAACCTCAAGTTTGAGGCAGTTCTTACTTGGTGGAAGTATTCACTTTTACAGCAGTTCTTGGGAGAGGATGTGGCTTCTTGCCAAGGCCTTGCTCACAGCTCTGAAACCACTGAGGCTAACAGCTTGTCTCAAAATCTGTGCACTCAAGACAATGCCTGCATTTGAATGTAGTAATCTGCTTTTAGGTTTCTGCATCACAAAATATTTACAGTACTCTTACAAATAGATTAAGTCCGAAATAGTTCTAGCTGTAGTTTATATAGGTGTCTTCAAATATACTGAAATACCAGAAATGGAATTAAATATTTTTTTAGAAATAGAACTCTACTTTTTACTCTCAGAAGTCATATAAAAGACACTGTCAAATCAGTCCTAAGTAAAAAATATCTTTGTATTTAAGCTACTATTTGTACTGCTACTCATGGATGCTTCTTTGAAAATGACATGTACAGAATTGTATGACTGTGCCAGTGATTTTATTTATACTGAAGTGAAAATCAGGGAAAAATTTGACAGTTTGGGGATACTTAGAGAGGGAAGCGTGTTTGTTATTATCTTTACTGGAAAGTTTGGCTTCTTGTCATTAGTCGACAGAATCCATTGTCAAGATGTGGCCTCTCTAAATGAAGAATATCAGTTTTAAACAGCTAGATGAAGTAATAGATACTTGCTGCAATATTATCTGAAGCTTAGTTAGGTGAGGGACAGTTTTGGTGCAGGAACAAATGTGTGTCACCTGGTCATGAATTATCTCCCTCAGATTTCATGAGATGTGAAATTTGGAAATATCATGGGCATTAGCAGGTGCCTGTGGAGAAGCCACAGGAGTGAGAGTGAGGATCAGCAGCCAAGCTACTTTTGAAATACAGATGGCTGAAAAAATATGGATTACTTTGTAAGCTATGCTTGCTTGTAGAAGTAAGAGTACTGTTAAGACATTTATCATTATGTTGCTGTGTGTGTGTCTTTTGTCTTATAGTACATAAGTAAGGACTTACTTAAACATAATTCTTACTGATCATATAGTTGTGCAATAATTGTTGTTTGTTTTCATTGCATTTCTAAAGCCAAGTGGGAGAGGAGTTCTCCATTAAGCTAGGGAATATGGAAACCCCACATTTCCAACACAAGGCATCACCTCTATCTACAAACAACTGTATTTTATATTAAAATAAACATAATCGTATCTCTGCTAGTTCTGAGGCTGTGTTGACTTCAGTCTCTATGATGATAAATAATTTTACTTTTGCTTTGATAAATTTTCTTTAATCTCCACATTAAGGATTAAGAATCTTCTGACATCACCTGCTTTTCTCTGCAAGATCCCAAAAGATGTTTTCACTTTTTGCTGTTTTAACCCTGTGGTTTCCTTATATGTGCAAATGTATTGCCAAGGTTTTAACTCCTTTTACTCATTTTTTGGACCCTCTAAGATCCTTTAATGTAATTCTCTGGCTAATTTTTGGCTTTTCAGCTTTTTTCAGATTTCTTGAAATGCAATTTTATGCTAACATTACTACTTCTTTATTTAACAGTATCACTTCTAGAAAGAAGTTTTACCTGTTAATTTGCAAGAACTTTCACTTTTTGTTTCATCTCTGTTGTAAAGACTACTTTGTAGTGTACTTTCTCTGGGTGAGTCTGTCCGTTACCTTTTTATTTATGATAAGAGCAGAGAAAGTTCATCATGTAAAAAGGTCACTTTTTTCCTGCTGAAGTTTTTACACTGGCTCTTGGGAATCTTGAACTTTACATCAGTGCTTCCAATGCTTGAAGTGGGATTGCCTGTGCATTCTCTGGTCTCTCAGAGCTACCCAGCTGTGCTGTAGTATAACATCTAGTTACACTATTGATGCTGTTTAAATATGATGCTTCTATCTGTCTAAAAATTCTGTCTCTCTAATTTATAACCTGAACTACTGTCCACTGTGCTTGCTTATGCTCTCGACTTTACAGTTGTGTAGTGTATAATCTGATTTCTTGTGTTACAATTCATCCTTTATTTCCTTCTTCATGTTAATTGTTATCATTAGGAAGAAGGATACTAAGGTAGTGGAGGTCATAAGTGAGATGTAAATTTGGGATGCTTTGTGGGGCTTAACAAATGTTTCGACTTGTCAAAGTGTTTGCTGACCAAAGATGACTGAAGTCCAAGTGTTTGCTGAACTAAAGTGAATTCTTATGAATTCTGTTAGTGTCCTGCTCAGTGCTTTGATTTGGTTGTTTTAACCCAAGGTTAAAATGTTTTCTTGTAACATTTTTGGTCTTCAGGAGTGTACAGTGGATTGTTATTAATTCTTAGAGTTACTATAGTTCTGTTGCAGACAAATGAGAAATACTTTGTGTCTCATTGATGGAAACTTTGTATACTCTTTTAGAAAAGCTCCAGTGATTTCTTCAGCAAGCTTATCCTATTTCCTAGTTTAGTTGCTTACAACTGCTTGAAGATCTTGAATTTTTAGCATTCATGCCAGATTCTATTTTTAAACAATTTGAGACAGACTGGTAAAAACATGTCTCTGTATTTAGAACAAAATGGATTTTACCAGGAAAGTTGATTGTGGCTTGTGAGACTAATCCTAGATATTTGAATTTTAATGGCATATGTGTACCTGTTATCTTAAAGCTAACTATAGCTTTCAAAGTATGAGTTGCTCATGTCAGGGACAAACTACCTAAATAACAACTATGTGTGCATACTTCCTTTCTAAATCTTCAGGAAACCGTAAACCATATTAATACAATTAGCAAAACTCTGAAAATGTAGACAGCTATCTCTTTCTGATTCCTATGTCTGCTGTGTGTCTTGTTCAGCATGACCTTTCTGGAAAGCATTCTAATATATTGTAAAATAATCTGCCAAATTAAAAATTGGTAGCAACAGTAAGGATCCAAACATCTGTAATTTGCATGGTGTGTTGCAGGAGAGCCACCAGTGAAATGACAGGATTTGCTAGTTTCCCTCCTCTCTGCTCCTCTCTTTTTTCTTTTTTTCCCCCCTTTTTTAGATGTCCTGTACAAAACTTCAGGCAGTATCTCTTCAAACAAGTCAGTTCTCTTATCTCTGATTAAATGAGTGTGATATAAATAATATTCTTAAAATGGTTAACACTGGTATTCCTCTGCATACATGAGCAGATTTGCATTGGAATAGTGAATCCTTGATATAGCCAGTGATTCATTTGTCTAGAACTTGAGTCAGGTGAGCTCTAGAAAGACAACTCTGTCATCCCTTAGGTTTATCTGAATGAAACTTTCTCTACACTGTTAGCTATTGGAAGGTACAGTAACTGAGTGCCAAGGTCACTATGCAATGAAAAACAATCAATTTGAACACAGTATATGCTTTTATGACCTATTTTTCCATCTTGCCTGATATTTGGATTTCTTTGCTTTTTCTCAAGGATGTATTATTTTGGGTTTTAAGATTGATAGTTAAGTGTAGTATGGTTGGCATAAATACAAAGAAAGCCTGATACTTTCCTCTCTATCAGTACTTTTTCTCCTGAAGAAGTTTGGAGCACTGGGAGATTCCTCTCCATACTTCCAGAGATACTGCTACTTGATAAAGACATCAAGGAAAGTTCTCATGTCCCTTTTGATCCAGCGTGGGCTGAAATCTCGGGCCCGCTCTGTGTTTCCTAATGTATATTACCTGAAAGATGTTATTCATGGTGCTTCAAATGTGGAAGAAACTTGCACTTCACATCTGCAAGGATGTTTACTTTAACATACTTTTTAAGCATTTTGCTAAGTGTATAAATGGTCCATGAGGTAACCTTTTCAATAGCCTTTTGAGGATAAGGCTTGTTTAAAACGTTAAGTGGAGAACCTAAAGTATCACTAGTATTAGGGAGAGTTTGTTTTCTCAGATTTTGGCATTTCCTTTGAGAATGCACATGAAGTTTCCTGATCAGAAGTCATAGCTAATGTAGGTTCAGACCCCAAGGACGTATGTTATATTGGGGAATTAAGAATTCCTTTCTTTTTTTATATGTAATTCAATGCTATAGGTCTGCAGTCAGCTTCATCTGGTTTGAGATTGCTCTGCAGTCTTCCTCTTTTCAATTCCCCTTCCCTGTACCTGAATTATTGGCTGTGCAGGTGTGAGGTGAACCACACAGGGAACTGATAAGTGGAAAGCTGATTCTCTTCCATTTTTTCCCCTCAGAGTGCCTCAGTGCACAGCTTCAGGGAAGGTCAGTGGAGAAGGGAAGAGATGACAATGAGTGGGTGGGCATCAAGGGAGGGTGAGGTTGAATCCGAAGTTTTACATTTGTTCATGTCATCATGGAGCCATGGTGTGAACATAGAAAGGTGAATGGTTCTGTTGGTTATGCTAGTGCAATAGCTGGATATATCTCATCTCATGGCTAGACTTCAAGAACGAAGATTTAGGAAGGCTCTATCCACGTTTGTTACAGAGCTGGATATATAAATGCTTCAGTAAAGACAACAAAATTTACTAGCAGTAAGAAGGCCTGTGTGTTAAGATTATTTCTAATTACAGGGTGCATAAAGAGGTGAGATTTCAATATTACTGTCTCTTTAAACTAAAAACCTTGTAACTGATCACCTGTATGGAGAGAAAGTGTTTGTTTTCAGCTGGAATCACTTTGAAACATGTAGTAAGAGTTTCTATCCTAATTCTTGTGTTGAATTCTTCATTGTAGAGAACTTGAGCAATGAAGTTCTGATTTACCTCAAGCGGTTCTTTCCTGATGAAGATCACAATCTGGTAATCTGTGTGACAGCCTGCAGCAATCTTTTTCCTAACCGCATCTACAAACTAGCTCTTTGCATGGGAAAGTTTTGAGCTATGCTTTGAAGTGGAAATCATAATATTATGTGTCTTTAAACATACTGGAAATTAAGTGTGCAGATACATTTATACTGAGTTTGAACATCCTGTAGTATGTGTGGTTCAGCTTTGTTAGAACTTAAACAAATTTTAGTCTCCTTCATATGGAGTTTCACTATGATTATGCATGTACTTAACCTGGTGTAGCGAATGCTATTAAGTTGTTTGAAGACTTTCTTTTCAAAGCATTTAATACCTAGGGGGGTTGTAACTATTCAGTAGTGGTTTTCTGGTTGTGCAATTTTATTTCCTGAGGTTGTTTGATAATCAGCAATTTATTACTAATGCAACATATGTAACTCCTCACCCTAGTGTTTTTTAAATTTTTTAAATTTTCTTTAGTATTCTTAAAGAAACTTCGTATAGCAGTGTGTAACTGTAGTGCTATTTCTTTCCATACTAGCTAGAGGACACATAGTAGTAACTAGAAGACACAGATGTATCTTTTGGAACCAGAAAGTTGTGAAAACAGCAGTTCTTCTGCAACTGAGACCTCCTAACAACATATTTTAATAACTACTTATACAATTGAGGTATGAGACACCTAAAAGCTCTTTTGTACTCTGTAAGAGTTGCAGTTGCATAGTACCCGTATGGATTAAGACCTAATTAAATTGGCTTAGTATCAGACTTGAAACTTCAATAAGTTTTAGGCATTTTAAACATTTTAAAATGTTCTTTTTTTTCCATTAGCAGAAACCTGGGAAAAGCAGAGTTGTAGATACTTGCATGGCAACAAGACTTTTTCTATTTGAACTCCCTCAAACTATGAGAAAAATTGGAAGAACTGAAATGACATAATCTGTTTTCTTTATTTTGTGGCTTAATTAGGACTTGTTGCTAAAACAAATTGATGTGACCCACTTTACAGGATAGGAAAATGGAACAAGGAAAAAATACCCTTAAATTAATGCCAGAGTGCTATAGAGAGAGATGAGGATTTTCAACCTTATGTAATAGAATCTTTTTTAAAGGTCACCACCAGCAAAATTTGCATGTTCCAGGCCCAAGTATTTCTTGTATTTCCTCTCCACATTTACCTTCCCCAAACTCCGCTCTGTCCTAAATACAACCAAATATTTAATTAACCTAGTAATTATGTAGGACTGTTGGCTACCTTAAATCATTCAGGTGCAAGATAGGTAGATTGTATAATTTTAGATCTTATTTCCAAATGTTCCGTGGAAGAGAGCTGGTTAATCAAAATAGCAGCTAATAAAAATCTTTAAGTCATCTGTACAGTTCAAATCAGTATTAATTTTGCCTACTCATTGGTACTACAGCTGATACAAAAGTGTTATTCCTCTAGCAGGAGGCAAAATAAAATTTCTTTTTAAGCACGTAGTCTTAACTTTGAGCCTCTTGGCTTGATGTGTAAGTCAAGTAAGTTTATAAGATGCAAGTTCTACATTCAGTTTTGGACTTAAATTCTATTTTGTGCTTGTATACACGTGAAAACAAAACTGGAGAAAAATGTCTTAAGTGTTTGGGAAGAATGTAGGGAGGTACTTTTCCATGCAAATCTATTTTGATTAGGTAAATATATAACAAAATATTTTTGTTGTCTTCACAGGACTCCTGTTTTTTTTTTTCCTGAAGTGGTAACTCTCTAAGCCTGTTATTGTACTATCTTTAAGTTTGTGGAGAAAAGGTTAGAAAAAAAAGTAATCCAAAGTATTCAGATAGTGATAGATGCATTAAATACTACTTTAAGCATATTCCTGTTGATACTCAGTGTTCATTATAAAACTCTTTCAAGTTGTAAGTGGTGTCATTAGTCATTTAAGCTGTGTGCACATTGTGCATCTGTATGTTTTTTCCTTGAAGAATCCTACTTGAAGAACTACTCAGAAATATTCATCTGAATATCCAAAAATTAAAAGAAAAAGCCAAACCATGGCTTGGACAAAATTTGAATAAGTTAGCAGGTGCAGATTCAGGATGTTCTCTTATGAATATATATCTCTGTATTAATTTTTTCCTCCTCTGACTTCAGCAGTTATACTTAGATAAATAAGACTCTAGAAGAAAGTTGTTAACAGCAGCAGCTCTTAAGGGGACAAACAGCTGGTCTCTCCAAACTTCACTGAAAAGTGTGGAACTAGCACTGCAAGTAGAGCCCCCTGTTGTGCTGTATTTAGATCAAGTGCCTTTGACAAGTCTTATGAAACTGTGCAAACTCCTAGAACAAAATTTCTCATTAAGTTTCTCTTTATCTTTTCTTTGTGACTGTTTTTATCTTAGAGAGGAAACCTTAGGTTTTTAAAACAAAACAAAACAACAACCCTGAAGCTAATCATTATTGTGATGTTTCTTTTATGAGTAGATTTCTTGTGAAAAAATTTTATTATTTTTGTTGTGTATGTGTGTCTTAGAAGAATTGTGTAAATGGAAAGCAATCAGGATTTTGTTTATAACCAGAAAAATGTAACTACTGAAGAATAATAAATAAGTAAAAAAACCCCACCCTGGGAATGATACTTGACATCAGCCAGCCAGATGATAATCTTATTCTTGTTTTGGATTTTTTTTTCTGAAGAATAATTAATTCTAACTTAGTAATAAATCACCTTAGTTTGCAACTGAAAAACTCCTCTCAATATTGTGGTACTTCCTATGAGTCAGAAAGGTATATCTAGGCTTAAAAGTACTTTGAAATAGCAGCTTATATTCAGAAACGGGCCTTTTGACCATCTCAGGTATTGACCATCTCTTTATAAACTGAATATAAAAAAGGAAAAAGCCTATATGTGTCTATTTTACTTGAAGCATGTTTTCAGATAAGATCACAGACCTGATTCTGTGTAAACAGGTGTTATGGTTACAAGAAGGGCTTTAAAGAGTTGTTTCGTAGTTCTATGCAATACTTTGGTAACTGGAGCTCTCACCCAGGACAGAGGAGGAAAAAATATTTACCTCTGTTTTCTCGAGGAAGAATAAGTTTGGTTTATTTCCAGAGTTGCAGCTGCTGTTTATAGGATATATTTGAATAGAAGTTAGAGTGTATATTTTAGATTCTTGTTGTTGAAACTGTTCCAATTCAATGTGAAACAAAAGTTCAACCTACTGAGAGTGAATGTGAGCATAGGTCGGGTATATCTGGAGTTGCCTTTCTTACTTAGAAAGGAGGGAGAAAACTGGGTTTTAGTCTCTGTTCTGCAGAGCTCCTCTCTTACAAATTACTGTTGTGGCCAAATAAGTATTTTCATTTTGAGGGACTAAAATGGCTTTGTTCTTATACCTTTGGGTATACTTAAAAATGTATTTTAGACCTCTGAAATTCAAACACTGTTCTCTAGAGGAGAGAACTGAGTCTCTGATCTTTCACATCCTGATTAAGTGTGGAATTCGAGGAGATGGTTCAATGGAATCACTTAATCTCTTGAAGGGAGGGGCTTCCTTTCACTGGGGAAGTTCAACAGGGTGCATATGATCCTACAGTTCTTTTACATATTTTGTGATGCATCTTTTATTTTCCATTTGTTTTTTTTCCACCTCCAGATCGCCACCCTCGCATCTCCACGATCAGCCTGCTTTGTTGTCTAATCCTGAATTTATGACTTTGCTCTGGTTTTCAGTATTTATGTTCGATTGTATAGTAGGACATTTTACTGTGAGAAATCTTGTAGCGATTAAAAATTAAGGACCTTAGAGATTTATGTGTGGATTGATTATACGTGGAATAAGGAAAAGTTCCTCAAATACTGATGTTAAAATCTGTGAAGTGGGAGCATGAGAGCCCAAATTGCATTTCACTTGGTTAATTTTTATTTCAAATTTTTTTTGGTCTTTGTGTTTTCTTTGAACATTTCTGTTCCATCTATTTCCCTGTTCCTAATGAGTAAGTTTCTGATTTAGGTTATTGAAGTCCTTTAATAACATGCGCAGGTACCTTTATAACCATGTAGACTAGGATATGTAAAGTTCAGACCAGAGATCTAGTTTTTAATACAAATAATAATAATTTAAAAAGCCACTCTTTCCTCCCATAATTTCCATTGAAGTTGTGGCAAAGAAAATTTCTTAGAAACTAAAAGGAAGAATCAATTTTCTATCACAAAGAATTTATATAGAATTTATTAAAAGTAAATCTTTAGCTTAAAATTTTGATCTTATCTCTAAAGACCCTGCTGCCATGATTGTAAAACAACAAAAATTTCTGAGTATGGATATTTGTGAAAATTTAAGGTTAGAATATTTCATGAATGATACCGTAAGTATTTCAGTAAAAATTCATGTTCCGTCTGTAGAGTAAACAGAGAGAAAACAGTCTCTTAAAAAAATGAAATAGAGTTTGTAAAAGCACAGATTTGTCCATTGAAAGTGTATTATTCTACCCTTGGCATAGAATAACACTGAATGAAAATTGAAGATGAAAACATGTTTTACCTCAGGATAGTAGATCAGTTATTATGGTGTGGGAACTTCTCAGAATGGAACAGTTCAACACAAGTGCTTATCAAGTCTAGATTTTAAGATGAATATCACAAAAAGGATGTGTGTCTATATACAGATATATGATCTCACAGTACTGCAGGGGGGAAAGCTTGTATTTTAATAGAAAAGGGGAAAATAGTATTTTTAATATATTTCTAATTTCTATTAACTGCCTGCTTGTGTGCACCCTTCTCTTCAGGAGATAATCCATAAGTGCTTCCATATTACTTCTTAATGCATCTTTGTGGGAAATAATTATACAAATTACAAAAACTTTGAATGGATGCTTTGAAGCCTGACTGTTTGTGTTTGTAATTGACTCTTTTTCCTCTAAACTTTTTTACTTGCACTTTAATTGTGATGTAGAGATGGAACTAATGCTGCTAGTCTTGATTGTAAATTATGCTTTTGTAAAATGACGTAAATATATGTGGACTGCATAATTGTAGCAAAACCAACTTGAAAATAGTTTTAAAATTTTGGAATAGTTATGCAAATGAGGAGAAGAGTAATAATTTTGAGTGTTAGTGAAGCAATTTGACTTGCTTCAAAAAGAGTCAGCAAACAGTGACAGCATTTGAACGCAGCAGAACAAGACCTTATAAGAAGTTTTGACTGCTGACTTAGCTATCCCAATCTCAAATTGTATTGTAAAGAGATATAAATTAAATTTAACCTTTGTCTTTCATAAAATGAATGAAAATTATATTATTTGGTATTTTGAACTATAACACTCCAGGAGATACACATATAACCTGTATTTTTCAAGGTGTGTGTTAATGTGTGTTTTTCATGGGGTGTATAATCAGTTGTGTGCACCCCCAGTTGGTCCATCTTTCTCTTGGCCATTTTCCTTTTGATGAGTTTGAAGAGTTTCCCCATTTTAGCTTTAGAAATCAGAAAGATGTTTGTCACTTCTTGGGAAGACATATTCTTGCAATCAGTTGGTTTTTAAAGGGCACAAGATTAAAGCTGTGGGTACTTGGTTAAATGTCAACATACATGTCTTAGTTCAGATTTGGAGTGTACATCTGGACTCAGTTTCTTGACTGTCTTCACTTGCTGTTATGCAATCTGCTGTTGTACCTGGATGGAATGTGCTCACTTAGGTCTGAGTGAAATGAAGCAAAAACTTATGCATTTATGGGCATTCAGCCAGGTAAGTTCTACTTCAGACCAGTCCCCCCATGTATTATATGGACTTGAGGTTCTCAGCATCGGTTGAGTGCTTTATGAATCCACTTGTACTAAGATCTGGTGTCTGCAAATGCAGGTGCAGCTGAAGTGAAGTTGCAACAAATTGCCTAATCTGATGCCTGTCAAAACACTGTATGGTTTACATGCAATAGACTACATATCACTGCATGTAAAATTATTTTCCTTAATAAACCGTTGATTTCTCCATATGTTTGGTAACTTCTACTCTTCAAGTTTTCTTTCTGTTTTGCTCTGAATTGCTTATGCATCAGCTAAATCACAGAAATGTAGTAGTCAGGATGTCTTTCTTAAAGCATTTGGTCTGTTTAATGTGTTCAAGTGGCTTTGAAAGTAGTTAACAGATACATTAGTTATAGAATCAACTGCCTGTAGTTGCTTTTCATTAATTTGAAAAGTCTTAAACTGGTGCTTTTTCTCACTTTTTTCTCCCTTGAGCTATTGGGAATTGCATTTGGCAATTAATCGCTGGATGTTGAAACCACAGGAGTTGTGTGTTGTTTTTCAAAGTAGCTGTTACATTCTTCTGTTCACTCCATCTACCTTATGGCTGTGTTATTCAAAGAAGCGTGGAGGAAGAAGGACAGAGTGCTAGATCGTAAAGTTTTTATTAGGGTTGCTGTGAATGAGAAATGAGTTAGTTTCTGACTTCCACCCAAAACGAATAAGCAATGGAAATTTTGCCTGGTTTCACTTTATGGCTTGTGGTATATTGCACGCTAGGAAAACAATATTTCCTTTGGCAAAACTGTCAGTAACCTTTCTTTGGGTCTGCTAGAAGCATATACGATGTGCACCAGGAAACAGTTCGGATCCAAAAATTTTTTGTCAAGAATGTGTGCGATTGGTTTCAAGTAATTCTTTCAATGACTCAAAATTAAGTTATAGAAGTTAGTTGTCTCTTTTCTCTTTAAGTAGTTAGCAAGTTCCAAATGAACAGTCTCTACTCGGGAAACCTGGTAGAGGAGTGCAAACATGGAGAAAGTTTCTTGGATGAGGGCCAACTTGACAAATGCAAGCAGGCAAGCTTTGTGTCCGGACTTGTGTTTCAGCTTATGCGCATGGATTTAGTGTCGTTAGAGCTCAGGCACTGTGGCGTGCTTTGCAGCAAAAATACTACAGTACAATGTGCTCGGTTTCATTTGCTCTTGTTTTTATGTTGGAGGATTAAGGGGAGGGGAAAGGATCAACTACCCAGGATGCTCTGTTTGGAGGAGTAAGTGAATTTGATTGTCGTCAGACCTAGATTGCCATATGAGTTCTGAAAAGCGTTTGGCTCCTCAGGATAACTGCTCTAAAAATAGATTTGGAGGAGAGGTTTCTCTTGGGTCCAGTTTCGGGTTCCAGCTGAGCTGGCTTTAAAAAACTTGTTTGCTCCTGTTGCAAGGCTGGAGTGAGGATAAATCGTTTCTTATTCTACCTTCAACATTAATTTTTGGAGATACACACTCGCTCTGTCTGTGGAAATCGAGCACTAATGTTATGGCTGACGACACAGGTATAATCCTAACCTTTTTTGTGAGCAAATGGAAAATGTGTACTTTCATACCAGTTATGTCTGATTTTGTAATCGGCACAGTAACTGGCTTACTGTCATTTGTTGGTGTTTGCTTGTCAGTTTGCTGTTCTAGTGTGCTTTACAGCCTGCATCTGTTCTCTTTGATTATATGTTCTCTGGACTAGGGGTATTTCATGAGTTTAAGGCAGGTTTGTAACATTTGTTACAAGGATTGCAGCATTTTTTGCTTGAGTAGAGCATATGTTAACATGAGACATCGTTTTGTCTTCAAATGTCTGACTTCAGAGTTATTTTTGGAGTATGTAAAATTGCTAGGTGTTGCGAAGGTAAGCTAAAGAAAAAGGGGTTTCATACATTTTTGTCTAGGAGTGACTTGATGAGGGAGTGGGTGAGGTACAGGATTGTATAGATTTGCCGTTGAGGGATGGAGCGTGCTTTAAGACTTTCTGATGTCTGCATAAAGACATCTGGTGGTGTAAGCACAGGCTTACCAGATATGGCAAGTGACCTACTTTTGACATAGCTGGCAGCATGTGCAGGGAAAGGGCTTGAGTTGAGAATTAACTGTTTGGAATGAGCTCTGAGCCAGCTTCAGTGCATGCAGTGTTTTGTTCTGACCCTGTATGTAGCGTTATTTGTGCAGGCCATAGGTGCATTCTATGTTATGTAACTTCCATTTATATAAAAGTGTTGCGTGATCATGCTGCCATGGTTGAGTTGTTTTTTTTCAAGAGTTTTGAAAATAATTTTGCTATAAGGTAGGAAGCCACAGCATGAAAATGTACCTTTGTGACTGTTGTGAATTATATTTTTATAGCAGAATCTGATTTGAGGATTTAACATGAAATAGTCTTTTATACTGAAAAAAATATGAACAGCTATGCTCAGTTACTTAAATAAGCTGTCTTTTCTTTCATTTTCCCGTTCTTCTAACAAGTAAAGCTTCTTCCCTCAGAGGCAACTAGCAGTAAACAGTAGAAAACAGTGAGATAAATGAGTGTGAAATGCAGTAAGATCCTCTTTCCTATTTGCTATAGAACAAAGTTGTAACATGGAATCCTTTAAAATGCTTTTAGCCTTGGGGTTTAATTTTAAGTACATACGAAACTTTCATTGACTGCCTTGGAACACAGGTGTAGTGAAGCCCTGCCGTTACATACTATAACTGTTTATTTCTGAATATTAACATTTCCAGCTCAAGAATACTTCAAGTAAATTCATATACAGTTGAGCATATTTCTGAATGTACTGGTGCACAGTGCTTGTCTTTCCCTCTATTTCCAGGCTACCTGTGCATTTCCCACAAGAGAGATGTTAAAATGAGCTGAGTATATGGACATTGCATATATTTAATTAGGGGACTCTGCAGTAGCAAGCGATACATGCCTGAGTTATCTCAATTTCTCTCTAAATATTATTGGACATTTGTGTTTAATGTAGAAAAGAAACGAAATTTGATCTTTGAAGGGAGTAGTCTCAATAAAAGACTTTTTTTTTCTTCAATAAAATGTTGAGCTAAGTAAGAGTTGACGTGGATCAGTGGAGATTTTATTGGTCTGAACCTGATATATAGCGCAATGAATATAATAAAAGGGCAGTTTATTACAGCTGTAGACCTGATGGCAAGCAGGGTCTGAAAGTACTTATATATAGTATCTGTTATAGAAATAAGTCTGTTACCAATCTCTCATTACTTATCTTTCAGAGTTACTCCATTTTATTGTAAAAAACAATTACATTGATATTTAGCTATTGAGAGTATTTTTTGTCTTTTTCTATGATCAGTGCTGATAAATGCATCAAACATTACTTGCATTTAGTATGATAAAGTTAACTCCTTACCTTATTGTATTATCACAATATTCATGACAAAGTTCCTCGAGTCCTTCAAAATATATAAGAAATAATTTTGCTTGAATGACTGGAAGTGCGTGTGGCTGAACTGGCAAAAGTTGGTTCTTAGAACAGAATGAAGTGGAATAGACTGATGGACATGAAACTGCAGCGAAGTGCCAGCTTTGTAGCAGTAATATCAGGAGGCAGCAGAGCAGACCTTGAGCTTTGGAGAAAGGCCACAGGCATCTTTTTGGTTACGTATTTATTTACTATATGTATCCCTCTTTTGCCAAAATGATCCTAAAAACACAGATCAAGCAATTTATATCATTGCTAGTGGCAAAGCCCATTTGAAACCTGCTACACACATCTAGGTCAAGGTCTGTCTTTTTCTAGTGGTTTGTTTTGGGGGTTTTTATATACATTTACTTTCCATATTCGCAGTTATTAATGAAATGGTGATTTGCGTTATATCTCTGTGTCATCCTTTTACTTGTATATTCCATAGGACTGGAAGTCTAAAGTTATTTAGCATGGAGTGAATCTCAGTTTGATTCTAAGCTATAGGGAAGATGTTTTTAGTTGCTTAAGTGTCTGTCTGAACTTGGAGTCTTACCCTTAATATGGTTCAGATTTTAGAGCTTTCTTAGGCTGTTTGAATTGTCACGTTGGTCTTTGAGCTATTTCAAGTACTATTGAAACTTGATTCAGGAGAAACAGTTCTCTTGTGAAGCTTTTCTGCTGGCCATAGTGTCCTCTGGTGGCAGCCTGGGAACTGCGGGTACAAATGCAAAGCATCTCAAAAATGTTAAGCTCTGTGTAAATACACAAGGAAGGGGGGAGGGAGAGTTAGGCGGGATTTCTGGCTAAGTTGTAAGACAAATTAGATGGGGGCATTTGGTGTTCGGTTGCTTATGAGGCTTTTGGTTAGATAATTATCAAGCTTCCCACGGTAATTCCCAGTGATATGAAAAGCAAGTAATAGTGGTAAAATTTAAAAATAAAAACTGAACAAAACTCAAACAAACCCCACCACAACAACAAAAACCACTAAAAAACTGTTACTCAAATGTCTTGTATTCTGTATAGTCATAAGAAACAAGTTTTATAATTATATCCTCAATAATAATTTTTTAACTCTTACACAAATCCATTTTTCCTACTTGTTTGTCTTATTTTAACAGAGACTAAGCATGGAGGAAGCAAGAATGGAAAGAAAGAAGGCCTCTCTGGAAGCTCATTTTTCACCTGGTTTATGGTAATTGCTTTGCTGGGAGTTTGGACATCAGTAGCAGTTGTCTGGTTTGAACTTGTAGATTATGAAGAAGTTCTAGGTAAGAATTTTAAATCTTAAGATTCTTCTAATAAGATTACGATATTCATTTAATGAAGGCCATTTTAAATGATTAGATAGATGATTTGACTACTGCAGTGCTTGCAAATGATCTACATGATAAGAATAAGCAAAGTATTTCAAAAACTATGTTTTAATGCCGAACGCTGTTATGATGTTAAAACGGGATTCTCATAAAACTGAAAAGGCATCATCCTTCAGGATCTCTTTGTAACATGTATACTGTAGTTCACTTGAGAGGTGACCTAAATATGCATTGTTTGAATATAAGCTCTCAGAAACTTGCAGCAGTGGTTGAAAGTGGGCAGCTAATGATATTCCTCCTCTGATGGACTGTGATGCCTGTAGGGTCAGAATAATGAATCAGTTATCCTCTCATGAGTGAGCTGTTCAATGACCTCAGTTTTAAGCTTATAATGGTGATAATGGTATCTCAGTATGACAATTTTAAGACAATACTGTTAATATAATATTTAAGGGTGCAAATTAGTGTCTCCAATTTCAAGATGTATGTCCACAGGTACGGCTGTTATATTTGATGTTGTAGGATTTAACATGCACTTTTGCAACTGGTAGTTTTACAAAATTAAGAAATCTGAAAGAACATAGTTTTTTTGATCTGGACCAATTTTTTAAGAGAAGCTTCTGGTTTGCAACATAATTGGGTCTAGTGATGCAAATAATGGTTTTCATATTTTTACTACGCATGCAGCCAAAGCAAAGGATTTCCGTTATAACTTGTCAGAGGTCCTACAAGGTAGGATATTGGAGAAATAAGCTTGCTTTACAGTCCCTTGGCTGAAAGTTTTGATTTATTTTGTTATGGTTTTAATTTTTTTGAGAATTACTATTCTTCTGTTGTCACATGAAACTCAATCATTTCTCATCTGTCTCATTCTTCATGATTTTGAAGATGGTATTATTCTTATTTCTAGAGAATTACATTTTTGTACCAGTCTACTGTGTTTAACCATAAACTGATAAAGATACTTTCTAGTGGATTGCTTCCATACAATGCCGATGGATGTATTTTTGACTATTCTAGACCCAAGTCTGAATTTTTGATTCCACAAAACTGTTTTCTAAGTACCATATTAACCATATTTCATTTATTTTGTTAGCAATAAAATTCTGTCTCCATTTAGAGAATGACAAGTGTAATATATTGTCAACCTACTAGGACACAGAGTTCTTCTGAAAACTGTGCAGAGTTTTAATCCTGTTAAAAGTTATGTCTGAATTTTATCAAACCTATAATTAGATACATCTCTACTCACTTGATGATCCCAGGACGCTTCAGATCCTGGATACCACAATTCTGTGCTGAAAATTCTCTTTTAGTAGAAACTGAGTTCTCCTATTGCACATACCTAGGGCTGGTAGAGCTGCAGTTTCAAAAATAAAAGTGAGAAATCTGATTTATTAGTCATGTCTGAAAAACAAACAACTTTTTTTGTCTGCATGGAAGGTTAGACAAGTGTTGATAAAGTTTGTGAATGTTTTCCCTTGTCTGGAAGGTGGACTGCTTACTTTCTATTAACTTGGCACTAAAAATTTTGTACTTATATATAGGTATATGTATCTGTTTTCTAAGAATTTAGAATTTCAGGAAGCATGTAATCAGAAAACAAATTCAGATTATTTGATTGATTTTTGGTTTATTATTTATTTTTCCTCAAACATGTTGAACATTCCTTGTGAGCCTAAATTTTATTCTAAGCAAAGCATGTTCATGTCAAGTACGTAATTACAGAACATGCAGAAAAAAAACAAACTCATGTTCAGTCTCAAATATAGGAGATACAGAATGGAACTTGAAATATCTGTAGTATTTTCCAGGAAATTTAAAATGTGGTTATGAGTTCACATAAATTGTTAAAAAATATATGGTAACAATCTAGCATTGACAGTTAGTCACTGCACATTGAAAACACTGTGTTGGAAACAAATGGCTGAATTGTCTTTTTCTCCTCTCTTTGCACTCCTAGGCAAGCTTGGGATTTATGATGCTGATGGAGATGGAGATTTTGATGTGGAAGATGCTAAAGTATTGCTAGGCAAGTACTAATACAGATGGAATAATCTATATAATTCAGTTGGCATGTTCAAGTTTGGCTTTTTTTTGATATAAAAACAGTATTTCTGGTTTTTGTTTTTCTAATTGGAGAACTTAAATTGATTTAATTGTGATAGGTTTTTTCTTAATGCAAGTTGTAGGATTGGGTGTGCAACTTATAGCAATTTTTGTTCTTTTTCTCCTAATATGTCAATGTAAGTGGAAAGCATTTAATTACTTACAGGATGATTTTGAAATTAGGTGTTTGCTGCTGTATTGGCTGTTGAAAGATGGTGGTGATTATTAATAAATTTATCAGATATAGGACCTAGGATGTTTCAAGAGTTAAAACATTGTTTATGTTAACATTTTAAGCCAGGCCCACTTTACAATGACTTTGAACATGCCTTTGTACTTCTTAGATGACTGTTTGTGTAGTGTATTTTTGTACTGTCTTTCCTCTATTCTGAATTCTGCAGAAGTCTGTTCGTTTTCTTTGCCCTTCGGAAATAGTACATGACATGAATTTTTCTTCTTTGACATTGCAACACTGAGTTTAAGCTTCTGTTCCTTTTAATTTGTGAGAATGTCTTTCTGCTCACTGTGTATCTTCAAAGGGAAATTTCAGTCACTAGACATACTTCATGATGCTACTCTTCTACCTACATCTTTTAAAACACTGCCATCTTCTGCTTCACAATGAAGCATTGGATAGATAGTTCTTGGATACCTGAAGTTAGAAAGTGTAGTTTTCTTTCACTGGTTTGTTCAAATGTACACCTATTCTGAGCACGCAAACCTGACAAATTAAACAAATAAATAAAACAACAAAAAACCCATCAGAGTAAATAATAGCTAGAGTAGAGAACAAAGTGGAATGTATCAAACTAATAGAAGTTATTAGTAGTATATTAGGATGTTATGGTTTGGTATTTGAAATTTGTACTCCATAAAAATCAGTTTATCATCAGATTATTTTTTCCTACTTATATCTGGAGGAATAAGCAAGTCTTTGGAGGGTGTGTGTTCATTTGTTTAATTCCGTCATGGTTTAAATAAAACCCATGTAATCAAAATTTCGAAACCACTTTGCAGTGGTGTGAATGTGAGAGGCACTCCAAAGAATCTCCAGTGCCCTGAATGGCTTCAGAGCCACAGATTAAGTGTTAATTATTAGGGGTGAATAAGGTAACATTTCATACAGTTATCATCCTAGTCTTTATCTGTTATGTAGTGTATAGAAGGGAGGTGTCCATTTCTTGTGGGTCCTATTGGTTGGATTCAGATTGCCAGGGTGGTAGCCAGGAACATTCTGCAGCTTTGTTACATCTCTGTTTTATGCAGCTTGATATAGCTGGGAATTCTGCCAGTACGTGGAAGTGTTTCTATTATAAGCTTGTCTTATCATGCGTTTAAACCTTATACTTCAAACGTGACATTAAAAGGTCACAGATAAAATTTATTTTTATTACTTTTGAATAATTGCTTAGAAATATTATTTAATCTCACTTAAATTGGATGATGATTTCTACAGTACAAAAGAAATTATAAACTTTGAAGTTTTGTGACACTAATAAAGTTATAAATGTAAAAGATATTTTTCCTAATAACTAGTATGTAAGTTTTCTATAAGTTACTGTGCCTGTTTGTATTTAAAATTTAATATGAACTAAAAAATGAACACCACTATGCAGACTGAAATTATTTCATTGATGCAGAAACTAGAAAACTGGATTCCCTCTTAAGGAATTTGCTTTATAGACTTAAGTCTTTGTAGTAAAGAAAACCATATAGTAAACTATATGCTATATTAGGGTAATTATCTAAGTATTAAATGCATAGCTCCTTCTGTTTGTGGGGATTTTATTAGTACATGTGCTGTGTTTGAAGGCTTATTACTTTCTGGGATTTTTCTCTGAGTCAGACTTGCCGTAACAGCAAATGGTTTCTCTGCTAAAACAGGAGTTACTGCAGTTTGATGTTTAATGATAGGAATTCATATGCTTTTTTCTTTTTTGTTCTTTTACCATTACGGCACTAGTGGTGTATATGGAAATTGTGGCATGCACAATGGTTTAATGTTGTCTGCTTCCATAACTGTTCAGTTTTCACTACAAATTTCAAGATTTAATTTCACGTTAATGGTAAATACCTTTTAAGTTAATTTAATTTTGAGAAATGCTTCTCCTAGCATGAGTTTATTTTATATTTTAAAAGATGGTTTAGTAGCTGATAACTTAATAGTTTTCTGTACTACTTGAGCATACCTAAATAGAAGAATTAAAATTCATTATTTTGTTTGTTTGTATAAGATATGATAGGGTCTTTACTTTTTATTTGTTGTAATCAAAGGAGGTTTGATGATTAAGTTCTCTTCAGGTATTTGTGTAATTTTAAAAAGAGTGTGCAAGAAGTGTGTTCCTCCCCACTTCCCCCACTCCCCCAGGTAAGAGAAGTGAAAAAAACTCCAAAAAACAAACCACCTAAAACCCTAGCAGTCAACCAACCCCAGGTATTTGTGTAGTTAGTATTGTAGCATTTATAAAAAAATATCCACGGTGAAAATTCAAATGTATTGAAGCTATTCTGACAATGTCTTGCAGATTCTGTCTTTTTCATAGGTATTTGTGAGGTTCTTTTTACTGAATTCCTTTGGTAATGGGAAGAGAGGCTTCATACTCTGCTTCTTTGAAGGCTGCTGTTTTCAGTACTTCTCTTCCCAATTTGTCTTTTCACTCTGATTGTTCTTTGAAGGGTATTAGTCTTCAGAGGAGTGTTATACTTATGTACTTGCTTTAACTCAGTACAGAGAAACAATGTCTTTAGTAATATTACCAAAAACCGGCATGTATGGGGAGTACCAAACTCTGTTGTATTAGTATTTTTGGAGCCAAGACTACTTTTTTTTTTATACTTCAGCCCCTTTTAACAAGCAACAATAAATACCCTGAGAAATTCTGCTTAAATGGGTCCAGCGGTTAGCACAGTTTTGGAACTGCAGCTACAGAAAGCCATCGCTATATTGTTCCTGCACATTTAGTTCAGAGTAGTCCAACTACGCAGAAAATGGAAAAACCCTACCTTAGTGTATCAGCAAACAGAGAGTAGGTAGTAAGCAGTATAATCGAGGTAAACTAACTTCTTTTCCCCTGGTTCATCTCTAATAGAAAAGTACGTTTGCAGGCAGTCGCACCTAGATGGCACATTCAAAAAATCTGTGATAAGGTGATTGGAGTTAAAAAGAATTATTTTTGTGCAGTTCAGCTATTTAGGATAAGTTTCATTCTTTTCTCCACTTTTCTCATGTTCTACTGTAGCACCTTCAAATATTAAAGGCTTGCTTGTGCTCATTCTCATAAAAGATGTTTGAAGGAGAAGGAAGGCTTTGTCTCGTTAAATGCATGTAGGCAAGCCCTCTGCCCCATTGCTCGTGGTAACACTATTGAAGTGAGAAAGATTTTGACACCTTTGATCACTTTAATTGAAATTGTGATGTGAAAACTTCTCTTGAAATAAAGTATTTATTCCCTGTGAGTCACTGCTAGTGACTCATAGTGGGGCTACTTAGTTGAACGGTTCTGGTTTTGTCACCATTTCCAGACACTTGTTAGGATGCTTATGTGAGCTTATTAGTATGTGAGTTTTTACTTTGAAAAGCAGTTCTTGATTATGGGTGCAAGCGAAGATGAAAAATAGTTTGATTATTAATTACAAAGGCTGTTAAGACACATTCTCCCAGTTTCTGTGGTCCCCTTTGGTGTCCTAATCTTGTCAAAGAAAATATGCTACAGTAAGGTAACTGCCCAAGAGTCTTATTCTTGACTTAGTGCAAGAACAGGGGCATCTCTGTAATTCTGTATGTGCTTACAGAAATGATATCTTTAGCATGAGATCTTTTGGGAGTAATATGGAGTTTTTTGTGTTTTTGGTTTTTATGCCAGATTCTGACAGAATAGAATAACACAAATATTTATAATTCTGTGTTTGTAACTTAGATTTTATTTTTTCTTAATTTTGTTTTTTGGTTCAGGTTTCCATTCTTAAATTGAGATTTCATTCTTCAGTAAATATTCTTACTTTTGTTTATGTCTTTATGTCCTGCTTGATCCAAATTTTGAAAACAAGTTAGAATGATGACTGACTACTGTGCATAAAGTTGTTTATAAAATTTAACTTTTATAGAACTAAACCATGGAAGAAGTTGGAGAGGGATATTTATAATACCTTGATTGCTTCCTGGATTCAGTCATTTTTAAACCTTTGGGCTATCCAGTGAAAAGTTAAAGAGAATGGCTGGTCACTCAAGCAGAGGTTCTGGGCATCCAGTTACAAGGATGTGGAATATCATGGACTTGGAAGTTTCCTCAGAATTATCATTGATACTTTCACTATGTGCTGTAAGAAAAATGTTTTAAAAAGTGTTTAATGTCTCTGCCGTGAACTTCTCTATCTTGAGTGTGTCATTAACCTGCATCTAATATTGCTTTGTAGTCTGCATGTGCAACATGGTCACTTAACTTTGTTTCAACAATCTGTCTTCACCCTTAGCTCACTTTTCTTCTTGTCCTTTTAACACAAGAGAAGGGTTGTGCTGGTTAGAAGTGTGGGAAATTCCTCCCTCTTCAGCTTTAAAGCATACCAGTAATTGACTGTTTGTCATTGCCTGGTCGTTCTGTTGTGCTTTTCCCAGAATGGAAAAGTTGAAATGTTATTTAATAATAACTATAAACCAGTGGATTATAATAAAAAAGAAACAAACACCACCCCCCACAAAAAACCCAAAACCCAAAAAAACCCCAGCAAGGAAAAAAAAAAGCCAAAACCCAACCTACCAAAAAAACCCCTAAAACAAAAAACAAAAACTCAACAACCAAAAAAAGGGAGTGGAAAAAAGCATTATTCATGGCTTATTTGTATTTTACAAATGCCAGTTAGATCAGTGGGTCTTCTAACCTAAAATAGCAACTTCTAGTATTAAGGAGTTTAGCAGTGACAAGCTCTTTCTTTGCTGTTCTGACCATCTCTACTTAAACTCTTTACCCTGCTTTAGATTTTCTGTATAACAAAACATATGCCCTTTCTACTGGCTACCTTTTCATTTCTATCTGGTGTTCTCTATATCCTCAGATTTGGAAATAATTCCTGAGGACCAAGTGTATCATGTAGAGTATGTGTCGCTGACAAAAATGATTGAGAAACGTGTCAAAGAACCCAAACAAGCAAACAAACTGCAAAACAACTCCTCCTCCACCCCAGCAATTAGAATCCTCACTTCTATGCAAAATGAAAAATTCTGCATGGTAGATTGTTATCCTTAACAGCACGTTTGTGACAAGTTTGGTTATATACTCTTTGCTTTAAAATGTTACCTCAGCTATGAGTTGCAAGCTCTCAAATTTGAACATGATGGTTTAAAAAATAAAAAAAGACAAATTGGATGATTTTAAAGTAGTGGAAGATTACTGTTACAGAAATTGGCTAAAAGTAAATGCTGTGGCAAGAAAACTGAATATAAATGGGTTTGGTTTTAGGACTAGGAAGAAGGCAAAGCAAAGCTTCCACTTTTTTTTTTAAATAAGATTCTGGCATAATGTTTTGCATGTTTATTGCCCAAATTGTAGTCTGTACTTGGAAAGATTCAACTTTCTTAACATCTTTCTGTTTCCTAATTAGCATTCCTGTAAAGACTGATGTCTGTGACATCAGATATCTTTCACAGATCCTCCTTTTACAGTTTCCTCTTTCCACCTAACTGCTGTCTCTTTTTTCCCCTTCCCTCTCTCTCTCTTTCCTCTATTCTTGTGTAGGCCTGACCAAAGATGGCAGTAATGAAAATATTGATTCCCTTGAGGAAGTCCTTAATATTTTAGCAGAGGAAAGCTCTGATTGGTTTTATGGCTTTCTCTCATTTCTCTATGATGTATTGACTCCTTTTGAAATACTAGAAGAAGAAGAAAGCGAAGCTGCAGATGATGTTGATGGTACGTCACAGAATGAAGGGGTTCAGGGAAAAAAGACTTGTGTTATTTTGGATTTACAGAACCAGTGAGACTGAGAGACTAATTTGATTGGCTTTTGAAAATGTCCATGAAATCATCAGTCTTAATATAACAAGAATTTATGACATTGAGGGGAACCTCCCAAATGGATGCTATAAAGATTGAACTAAAGTCATCCATGCTATGCAGTTTCAATAGTTGAAAGCCTTTCAATGATTTTTCCATTTTTGTGACAGGATGACACATATTATGTGGTTGTGTAAATATTTAGAATAAAACATGTATCTGTGGCTGTGTAGTTGGTTTCTGTATGTGCTTCAATTTGTGCATTTTATGCACAAAACTTACAAAGCTTAAGTGTAATAACCTCTACTGTTAACACTGTAACATTTGTCTTTCTAGCAAACGTTAACTGAAGCATTTTGTAACAGCTTTGATTGTAAAGTATGCTAGCATGACTGCATTCTGTAAATACATATTTATGTTAATCCTTTAATATAGACATGACAATGATAATTCTCTTGTGAAATATAATTTTAATAAATACTTTTTTTGTGATTCACTGATTTCTCAGATAGGTTCTTTTTACTTGTTCGAAGAAAAGCACTTAATGTAAAAGTGCTTGAAAATTCTACAGAAACATTTATTTCTAAGTCAGCTAACATCTGTTGTATTCAGAAGATATTCTGTCATGTGGTTTATTCCCATTGATTTGTCTGTTTTCAAACTAAGTCTTCAGTAATTTCTTTAATATAATAGTCAATCACAAGGGCTGTTCTAAATCTGTTTTAGTTTTTAAGGTGGGCCTTTTATGGAGGTGGGAAGCTGTGATTATGTATTTCTAATGTAATATGGAATATATTAAAGACTAATTGGAAATTAGAACTTAATGTCTTCCATTCCTTGCTAAATTGAAGTATTTAATGCAGTTTTACAAATGTGAATCTTTTTCTTGTGAAACTGTTTTATGACAGTTGTTCCAAAAATATTTTCCATGTATGTGAATTCTGTCTGCTCTCATGAAGTTACAGATGTAGAAAGGGCAGTTTATAATTGTGTTCTGCAGTTTGTATCAGATATCAAAAGCTGAAATTGAGCTGTCCTTTTAGTATATTAATTATGTACTCAAACAGATTACTATTAAAATTATATGAAATTGTCTATTATTATGCCTGCTTTGCTTAAGTTTTTATTGGTTTCCTATAGGAAGTTGATACTCAAGTTTTAACACTAGTGATTGCAGGCTAAAATTTTAATCTGTTCTTAAAATAAATGAATTTTCACTTACTTTGGCATGACAGTTTTAAAACAATTTGACATGCCCGTTTCAAAAAACTTCCATTAAATCATCTAACTCAGAGTTCTGTTGAATCTTTTAAAAGTAATAAAAAAGTTCTAGTGTTAAGCAAGCAAAGCATTGTGATTTGTTAATACTGCTGCTCAAGGTTTATTAAATAGAGACACAAGATTATTAATCCCATTTTCTTCCAAAATATTTGAGGATTAGGATGTAAAAAAGTTAACAACATGTAAATTTAACGGTTTTTAGAATGAGATATATGAAGTTTAAGGCAAAGAAAATTAAAATCTCCCATACATTATAAAAATGAATGCTAGTAGTTCTGTGAAAGTTTCTTAGCAAGTGGAACAAACTTGCAAAGTATCTGAGATGTAGGAAATAAGTAAACTTGGGTCGTTTTGTTTGGTTTGGGGTTTTTTTTGAGCTCTTAACTTTAGAAGCAGATTTGAATTAGAAATAAGAATTTCATCACTGATACCTTTCATTGTGAATTAAAAACATTGTGATGGAACATTGAATTCTATTGTAGATGCTTCAGTAATGGAACTAGATAACCAAAAAGAGGAAGGAAACATTTACTGTAAGAACTCTATATAATGAAGTTTATACCAAATAGTTAAAATAAATATTGCTAAACTGGTAAAGCTTCAAGTGAAATAGAGATAAATTGCTTGAACCATGAGAAAACTTCAGGCACTGAGATAGGTGATCAGTAAACAGTAAATTAATTTAACTAGGGATACGGAGATGAAATGCAGGCCATGATTTCATGTTGTGCATGTTCCTTTTGATTTTATTAAGTCTGTAGAAGTCTGCTCAAAAACAATTATAGTGGGAAAATAGAGAATTTGTATGAGAAGAAGAAGGGATGGGGGTGGGTGAAAAACCTAGGGTGAAAAATAGGGTAAATATAGGGTTTTTTTCCAGAAGCATTCATTCTTGCCTGGTGCTGTTCCTCTTGAGTTAACAACTGAACCCTTACCAGCGGTGAATGGAGCTGTCAAAGCTCTCTGCAAGTTTGGGATAGAAGAGTTTGCTTTGCATGTATTAACTGTTGTCATTGCAAGCAGAACTTGGCTAGTAATGGTGGTAATAAGATTAGGATGAGCCTTCAGTTATATCAGCATGGCAGTTTTTTGTTTGGGTGTTGGTGTTTGTTTTTTGGTTTTTTTTTAATTTTTTTTTTTTAAAGAAGGATTTTAAGAGCAAGAAGGTTAATCTGAGTATGATGTGCAAATAAGTGAGGAAAATAGAACTGTATCTCAACTCTTGCTTGTAAGTCCACACAAATTGTTTCTAATCAGTTGAGGAAGTTGAAACCTAAATTTTTAGTTTGATTTGTTGTGCCGTTTTCTTGTGTTGGTAAATGTTTGCTATTTTAACTGCCAGTCTTCAAACATAATACTGCATTAACCTTTGTAGCATAAGCTTTTACTTGCTTTCTTGTGATACTAATGTAAAGAACTTTATGGGGGAAAAAAACATACCCATAGTTCTAAAATGGCTGAGAACTTGTGGAAGTTTCGAACCCCAGATTTCTGTGACCACCTTCAACAGTATTTGATTTGAAAGTAAAAGAGTGCTTTATATCACATCACAGCACTCATAATGTATAGAATGACTTATTGAAGAGAGTAACTGAATTACTATAGAATTACTGTAGAATAACTTAGAATTGAAGAAAGTGAACAGTAAATTGTTTGCGTATCTGTTGAAATTCTTATTGCAACAACTTTTTTTGCCAATACTTCCCCCCCACCACTGCCTTTCAAAAATTTGCATTATTAGTCTGAATTGACTGGCTACAGAAGAAATCAAATTTTTATAACAGTTTTTGTGTAGGTTACAGTTGGATGGAGATGTAGAAGACCATTTCATGGTCAGATGGGAGAGAGAAACCCCCAACTGTATTGTAAATGTGATTTAATTAGTATTTGAGAGGTGGGAAAAGCTGTTGTGTACAGATCAGTCATTTTGGACAGAAGTGTACTATATTGTCTGTTAGATTTTCACAAGATAAGCAACTATCATAATGATGGCACAGCAACATGAAATACATTAAAAAGTGTCTTTCTAATGGTCATTTAGGATGGATTTCCCAAGATGAGGCTAATAAAGGCAAAACTTGCTCGTTGGTTTCTTACATCTCTCACATAGGATGCGATACAAGCATCTGTGACTACAGAAGAGAAAAATGCTTTCTGCCACGTGTGTCTGATCTGGATTTTTCTTCTAAAATTAGGCAGTTAAATAAACAAGAGGTATTGAAGCAATGTACTGAGAATGTATTGAAGTTTGGTGTTGGGGATTTTTTTTGTGCTAGTTGTATGAATTAAAAAAGCTCTCTTGCATTTGTGAGAGGTACAGGCTTTGCTAAGCCCAGCACTCTGCAAACAGGGAATGAGTTCAGTTTAAGGTAAGTGGCTGCTAGCTTTCTGTCAGTAAGCTATTTTATTTAGTAGATGACCTTGTATTTCCAATGTAGCACATTGTAAATGCAGAATCATAGTAATAATTTTGTGCAGGTGCATATGCAAACAAGGATTGCTTTTTCTGACTTGCAGTTCTTGGAGAAGGAAAATAAAAAGGAGAGGAAAAAAATGTTAATAATAGTTTTGGTTTACAGATTTGTATTTCCTTTTTTTTAATGCTACAATTTTAATATCTTTTGCTAATTTTTTGTGTGATTAAGGAGGTTTTGATGGGACATCATGAATTAAGGCAAGAGTCTGAACACAAGCCCTAATGTTTAGAGCTTGACACTTTATACCCTGTTATCCAGGCATTGCACAAATTGTGGAAGGGTAGCAAGTTCTGTCTGTCAGCTGCTTAGTGCTAACCTGGACCGTATGCTTTCTATGGTATTTGCAAAGTAGCCTCTTCCTTTTCACGTGTAAGTGGATAAACCACCTTAATTAGCTTAGATTTTTTTTGCATGGTGCTGCAGGTTAAAAGGGTTTATGCAGGTAGATGTGGTGAAATTCATTTATAGGATTTTTTTTTATATGGCAAAGCCTTTTGCCTAGCAAGACTATTAAAGTTTTCAGGATTATTAAATGAATAAAATAGAATTTGCATGTGTTAGGCTTCTCAATATACTGTTAAATGTGAGAATGTTATCTGTTAACATCTGTGAAACTGCTCAAAAAGAAAGTGCTTCTATCTATTTTTGTTTTGCAATCCGTATCTTTCTGAATAAAAATAGTACTTTTATATTTGTCTTTTGATGCTGATTTGTGGAGAATGTCCTCGAAGATTTTTATGGGGAAAAATAGAGGAAATTACTGGGTTTGTTGCAGAATAAGAATGCTTTTTAATTAAACTTTTTAATTAAAAAGCATAAGAATGCTTTTTAATATTCCTAAGCTTCAAAGAATCAGTTAAGATACCAAGTTGTCTACTGTTAAGCATTATGTGAAAATAACCACTCTCACCAGAGTATTTGATTTTTTAGAATGACTGTTTAAGTAGTTATTTGGAAAATATTGGAAAACTATCCAGCTATGTTAACTCTGAAGTCTACTTTTTAATTCACTGACTCCAATAGTAGCAATTTCTGACATTCCATTATAAACACATTTGTAGTTGTAAATTCTATATTTTTATCTTGTATTGCCAGCACTGGACATTTATAATGTGGCATTGAGTGGAAAAAAGAAGGAACTTTAAAACTAGTGCAAAACAAGTGTAAAGACACTTGAATTGGACCTTAGAATAAGGGTCTACAGGTTCAACTACATGATTTATAAAATACTGAACATTGCTTGGTGTGCCCCAAGGCTGTAAGAGCCTAAGTCTTTGCCACAAGTTTACTTAGGTGCCAGATTTTGTCATAGGTCCAGGACATTCCTATCTTGAAAAGCTTTTGCACCCGTGCTTCAGGCTAATTGGGGCTGACTTTTGTGTTCTGTAGTGCCTTGTAGGGACCCAGTCCAGGTGGAAATCAAGATGCATCAGGATTTCTTTCTTGTGATTATTACGTAGTAAGATTTTGAAATATATTATTTTATGTACTTTTCCTGTAAATAGGTCTATTAATAAGATGTTCACCTATACATGATTTATGTAATTATGAATTGATAATTTGATGAGAACCTTACTGCTATTCCTTGTATAAAAGCAGATTGAAGGAAATTACTACTTGTCTGAATATTTAACAAGTGAAATATCAGTACTCAGTGAACAAGGTGTTTTGTAATCTTTCAACGTAGTGCATGTACTTTTATTTTCAAAGAATTTGAAATATCTTTATGATATTTTTTGTCTATTCTGATCTTTGTAAAATTTTACAGTTTTCCTTGTCAATACATGCTTTTAAAAGTGTATCTTAAATTATCCAGGAATGTTTAATTTTAGTATGAAAAGAAAGGAGGAGCTGGAAATTTAAATATGACTCTGTGCAACTTTGTTGAGTAGCTTTTATTGTTTATATTTTCATTGATGCTGTAGTATAACAGTTGAAGTCTATTCTTCCTTTTATATGAACTTCTTCTTCCATGCAGTGCTTAGAAGTAGTAAGATTGAATAATGATTTTAGAGCTCTGTGCACCAGCAATGTGGTAATCTGTGAGGAAAAAGCTTAAAA